GAAATTTGATCCCCAATGTGGCAGTGTTGGAAACTGATTGAGTCATGTGGGAGGATCCCTCATGAATGGATTAATGCTCTCTCTAGGTGGGGGGAGTAATGAGTGAGTTCTCCCTCTATTAGTTCCTGAGAGAGCTGGTTGTTTAAAGGACCCTGGTACCTCCTCTCTCTCTCTCTCTCCCTCCCCCCCTCTCGCTTCCTTTCTCACCATGTGGTCTGCTTGTACCTGCCAGCTGCCTGCCACTTTTCTGCCATGAGTAGAAACAGCCTGAGGCCTGTGCCAGATGCAACTGTCCCAGAATCGTAAGCCAAATAAACCTCTCTTCTTTATAAATCAGCCAGTTTCAGGTATTTCTGTTATAACAACACAAAATGGACTAAAACACACCATTAAAATGCCGACAGTAAGAAATTTACTTGTTTTAAAAAAATCCAGTTGCTGGTATTGTCCAGAAAAATTTAACAGGTTTGTGTATAATTGTTATAAAGTTGAACTGCTGAAACTTATTCACTGAAACGTTTTGACTTGCATTAATGCTTTACATTCCCCCATTTATACTGAAAATTCACATACAAATGAAAGTGGAAAAACTGCCAATACCTGATTTCTGTCCCCTATTTTTCCACTTGCAACCATATACTTGGGTACCTTTTGACCCCATGGGAAAAAAATATCTAACATTCAGAACTACCAATAATAGGAGGAAGAAGAGAAAAATTTTTTTTGAGAACAAAATGTTTCTTATCACAGTAGATTCTTAAGCACGTTCTCCACGTATGAGGCATCCTATCTGGATGTCTTTTGGCATAGTTGTTACACGAATAGCACATAGGTTGGTGTCTTTGAAAATGCCAGCCAGATAGGCCTCACTTGCCTTCTGCAAAGCGCCAATAGCTGCGCTCTGAAAGCACAGATCTGTTTTGAAGTCCTGAGCAATTCCTCGCACCAGACGCTGTAAGGGGAGTTTGCGAATCAGAAGTTCAGTGGACTTCTGAGAACGTCTAATTTCACGAAGTGCCACAGTACCAGGCCTGTAATGATGAGGTTTCTTTACCCCTCCAGTAGAGGGCGCACTGTTGTGAGTGGCTTTTGTAGTCAGTTGTTTCCTGGGTGCTTTACCACCTGTCGATTTGTGGGCAGTCTGCTTAGTACAAGCCATGGTATAGAGACCTCCTTACTTACCCCCCTTCTTCTCCGGCTAGAGCTCAGTGAGCAAGAAGTGGCGCTGGTATTAGAGAGCGACAGCCCACATGTAGTTTCTGTCTTTCAAATTCAACAAAACAGTGTGAACTGTGACAAGAAGTATTTGTTTGGTAAGTGCAATTTTTGTTCCTACATGAATTACTTTACTGAATTTGAATGTTTTTTTTTTTTCAAAGTATTATTTAATTAAGGGCCGGCCCGGTGGCGCACTGCTACAGTGTGCCGCTTGGTAGTGCGGTGGCGCTCCCGCCGAGGGTTCGGATCCCACATACAGACTGGTTCCCGCTCACTGGCTGAGCGAGGTGCGGGTGCAACACTGAGGGTTGCGATCCCGTTGCCGGTCCCGGTCCGGTACGGGCGTGACACTGAGGGTTGCGATCGGTTGCCGGACACGAAAAAAAAAAAAAGTATTATTTAATTAAAATTATTGTTTTAAATCAATTCAAGAATGACCATTATTTGCATTATTTATTTATTACTGTATTCATTTCCTATGGCTACTGTAACAAATTACCACAAACTTGGTGGCTCTGTATAACATAAATGCATCATCTTACAGTTCTAGAGACCAGAAGTCTTCAATGGGTTTCACCAGACCGAAATCAAGGTGTGGATAGGCCTCACTCCCGCTGGAGGCTTTAGGGGAGAATCCATCACCTTTCCCATTTTGCGGAGGCTGCCTGCCTTCCTTGGCTCCTGGCACCTTCCTCCAACTTAAAAGTCCTCACCAATTTCTGCTTTTGGTGTTACAAAGTCTCTACTCTCAAATCTCCCTCTGCTTCTGTCTTGTAAGGATCCATGTGATCCAGAATAATCTTTCCATCTGAAGACCCTTAATTTAATTATTTGCAAAGTCTCTTTTTCCATATAAGGTAGCATTCAAAGGTTCTAGGGATTAGGATTTGAATTTGTTTGGGGCCCATTATTCAGCCTACTGCAATTACCAAACATCATTTTGTTGTGTGGAGAGGGCGTTAAAAAAGGATCTGCTCTGGGTGTGAAATGAGGCCTGAGGTTTGGCACTGCAGGAAATGCCTGTGGAGAGCACGTTCTGTTGCAGATGAGGTTAGAATGTATTTGACACAAGTGGGGGGGGGAGGGGTGAATGTGTGTGTTTGTTTGTGTGTGTACATGTGTGTGGTGCATGGTGCATAGGCTTGATTGTGTGGTGTGTAAAGGGCAAGTGTGGGGCTGTTTGGGAGGCCATGAAATGTCCTGCTCCAGGGTCAAAGGTATTTAAGCTCAGTCCCTGTAGGACCTTTATGTTTTGTTCTTATGAAGAGTCTTCATAGCACACACGTTACTTTTTAACACCTGACATATAGTCCAATACGGTCTCAGTCAGTCCATACTTTACTGAGGGCCTCCTATGTGCAGGGTACTCTTCTGGATGTGGGGATTCAGCAATGGACACACAGACAAAACTCCTGCTTCACGGAGTTTGCATCCCATCTATACGTGTTTGCTTATCTGTCTTACCTGTATAATGTGTGCGCCTTGAGGGCAGGCACTTTTTAAGGTTAATTAGACATTATCTCCCTAGAAGAGTGTCTGGCACTTGGCAGGCCTCGGTGAGTATTTACTGAATGAGCTACTGTCCTATTGGGTCACAGCTCTCCAAGTAAAAATGTCTCAACAGGTCATATAGAGGGATTTTCTTGTTTCCACATTATTTATTGTGGCAATGCTACTGTTTTTCCTTTAGAGTTTCCTGAAAGTCTTGGAATCCAGTGTCTCCTGTGGATCCAAGTTGACTTTCTGAATGATTAAATGTGGAAGGTTTAAAGCCAGTCCTTAGATGGCTCATTCTGTGTTTTGCTGAGATACATAGCAGGTACCATGAAATCTAATAAGACTGAAAACATGGTCTTAGAAGTAATTTCCTCCAAATCACTGGATCTAAAGCCCCCCATTTGCTCTTCTTTGTAATGTTCCCCTTTTCCTATACAAGACCTGCAGCCCCAGTACCCTTGGGTCCCTCCCCAGTGCTGCGCTCTGCAGGGAGGCAAAGGAACAAGACAGGCAGATGCTCAGTGTCAGAGGGAATGAACGTCTCCGTTTGCAGGCAGATGCTGGTCTCCAGGCAAATTCAGTCTGCAGCCTTAGACTCATATGGGGATCCTTCTGATTCTCCCCCAGCCCTGCAGAAAGGGATCAGGGCTGCATCTTCCACCCTAGCTATCATGATTCAATTCAGAATCTTTCTAACTCAGAGGAGGAAAAAACAAAACAAAACGAAATGGGGAGAACTTGCCGTGAAGTGATGCAAGCAACTCAAAGCCCTGGCATTCAGCCTCCTTGGTGATGTAAATAATCTGAATTCTCAGTGTGGTGTCCTCTGTCCATCCCGGAGGTGGAGAGGGAAGGAAGAGAGGTCCAGGAAGACCGCCCGAGTTACCAAAGGACAACAAGAAACAGACGAAAGGAAATGTTAAATAATACACCCCCAAAAATGGAAATAAATTAAGGCCGAGATTCCATCCTGGTGTTCTGATGACAAAAACCACGAGAACAAAGCTAAGGGAGATTTTTAAATGTCATCACCAGGCTCCTCTATGGAGCTACAGCTTTATTATTTATTATGTACCATCAGGAACATATAATTCCCAGTGTTCAGCAGAGCTGGCGTACTTTCAGGCCAGCTATCCTGCTGGGTCCCACACCACGTCACCATGTCCATTGGAGTGGTTCTCTGTACTGTTGCCAGAAGTGGGAGGGAATTTCTTCTTTTTTTCATGGATATCATCCAGGATCATGCCAGACCTGGAAGAAAGTGGAGGAAGACTGAAGCACAGGAATTGCAGGTGATGTCAGCCCCCGCTGGCTAAGGACCATGATTTGGGGACCTATGGTGTGTCTCCAAGTGGCTCTCTGTCCAAACCCCCACCTGCTTCCTCTGGCAAGGTAGGAATTTGCTTTCGTATCTGTGGCCTGAGAAAGCCCAG